CTGAAAGCTGCTAAACCAACCTTCCAGCTGGTCTGGATCTAGAAAGCCCTCTCGTCTGTGGCAGTGCCAGGGCTGGTGCTCATTTCGGGAATGAGATGTCTGCTGGTGCAGCGTGCCTGCGTAGGGAGGTTTTTGTATCTTCCTCTGTACAAAACACCTTCGTGAACAAGAGAAACTTGTCAATACATTTTTGGCTCTTATGTTTTCCAGAAGCACGTGGAGATCTTTATTGTTCTAATTGCAGGTGTTCTGCTCAACTGCTGCTGGGGCCAGCCAGGCTCTCTGGTCTGCAGCCCAGAGGTACCATGCCCAGGGCTGAGCTCGCCAGGCTTCTCTAACCATGGCTTTTCTCGGGGATACAGCGCGATGTGGTTGGTAAAACAGAGGAATTGCGGGAAACTTCTTAATTTCCTCCCTACCTGTGCAGCGCCAGGAGCTGGAGAGCAGCGAGGCAGCGAGGTGTTGGCTCTGCTGAGCGGCAGAGGATGCTGAGGTGCAGGAATGGGCTTGGGGTGAGGGGACAGCAGCATTGTCCATGAGTGCTCAGCTGGGGCCAGGCCTGGCGTTAAAACCAACCCAGCAGAAGTGGGCAGTTCCCACGCCTGAGTTTTTTGCCCTCTGGCCCTCAGTGCGGGCGCCAGCTGTGACAAAGCACCCCAGCCCTTTGCCTCCACCGCTCCCTGGCTGCTGGGGAAGGATGGCAGCAGCCAGTGCTTCACCAGCCCCACCGTTGGTTAGCACTTTAATTATCACAGAGCTACAGCTCACTGTGGAGCCGCGGGATGGCACGGAGGAGGCACCGCATCTCCCTGCTCCAGGGGATGCACAGCCAAGCTCGCTGGGCTGGGGAAGGGGGCAGGAGCCCCAGGGTGCAGAGAGGACACAGAGCAGACCCAGCTCTGTGGGGTGGCTTGTGGAGGGGTGGGTGACCAGGGCTGGGGTGGCACTGTACCTGTGTGCAAAGATGGCTCCTGCACCGATTTCAACAAGTTAATAAAAACAAATAAATGCGACCCTCGTCTGTGGGAGCAGCAGAGGAAGGACGTGCTCGACCCCTGGTTTGCTGAGAGGAGGAAGCAGCTCCTGTGGCTGTCACCGTGTGTCCCTGTGGGACAGTCCTGGGAATCCTCCCCTCCACCTTTTCCAGCAGTGAGACACGTGGAGCCGCCTCCGTGCCGGCCCCTGCCCGCCTCTCGCAGATCCAGGTCCCTTCTCAGGCCGCAGTCGCCATCGCCACAGGGGTGAGCCTGGAAACGAGACTGATCAGGGTGTCCCCCCCGCCCCAGTTTGGTGGCCCGGGGGGGTTTCCTCTTCCCCC